TCCTTGTTTATTTATTCAAAGTCTTAAATCTGGGGGGGGGGAACCCAAACCTCCTAACATGAAAGCTAAAAAAAGGTAAAGGAGCCCCTGTGGATTTTACTCTGCTAGTCGTTGCCAACTATAGGGTTTGGTGCTCATCTCTGTTTCAAGGCCCTTGAGTCAGTGCTGTCCGAAGACATGTGGCCAGCATGACATCATGGAGCACTGTTACCTTCCTACCAAAGCAGTTCCTATTTATCTACTTGCATTTGGATGCTTTCGAACTGCTAGTTCGAGGACGAGGATGGGGGCTCACCTCATCGTGTGGTGCTCAGATTTTGGGCTTTCCAAATGACAAGCCCAGTGTCTAAACCGTGAGCCACCATACCATTCCAATAATTAAATGATAAAAATGATAGCTAGGAAACAAAATAAAATACTGTAAAATTATAGTAATTTTTATAATGTAATTATTTGTCATACAATTTACCAATTCTATTTGATGCCAAAGATCTATTCCTTTTATTTATTTATTTATTTATTTATTTATTTATTTATTACATTTATACCCCGCCCTTCTCCTAGTGGACTCAAGGTGGCTTACAGCCAATTTAAAACAAGACAATCAATACAATATAAAATTTAAAATATAATTAAAACGAAATATTAGTATGGGCCTTATCTACCTTTTTTTAAAAGGTAGATAAGCTTATAGCTTTTTTAGGTATAGGTATAGAAAGAAGACTCTAAGTTACATATTGCCACTGCAGTTGTTTTTCCTGTCTTACTATCACAGGCAGCACTAAACAATTATACATGTTTTCCAGAACTAAAATGTGTCTGATTTATACAATTAGCAGCATCATACTGAACATTTTCTCTCAGTAAGTCCTGATGAATGCAGCAAAAAAAATGGATTGGAATGAAAAGTAAATGTTTGTGACTGGATTCACATATCTCAGTAAGCCATATTTTGGTGTTGTACGTTGTGAATCTATGTGGATAAGTGTGAATAAATGAAGGATATAGTTCTTGATGTAATTTCTGTAATTTCAATGACTCTATCTGCTTTGATGTCCTACAATCTTTTATGTTTCTGGCAGACCAATCCAATATATATTAATTCACATATAAATCTTGGTTTTTTGATGGGAACCTACTGGTAAATGAATGGAAATCAAGAACAGAATTTCTTTTCATTTTATTTATTTATTTATTTATAATTTTATAATTTAATTTGTATCCCGCCCTTCTCCTCACCGGACTCAGGGCGGCTAACAGCCTTATAAAACAACAATACAATAAATATCTATATTAAAACCAAATTAAAAGAAAATATTCGTAAAGGCCAATCGATTAAAATTACCCTTAAAATTACCCCTAAAAACCCCACTAAAATTCCCTAGGCCAAACCCGCTTGTTGAAAAAGCCATGTCTTTAGGGCGCGGCGGAAGGAGGGGAGATCCGGGATCACCCGGATCTCTGGGGGTAGTTCGTTCCAGAGGGTGGGGGCTCCCACCGAGAAGGCCTTCCCCTGGGGGTCGCCAGCCGGCACTGTCTGGCTGACGGCACCCTGAGGAGACCCACTCTGTGGGAGCGTACCGGCCGATGGGAGGTTTTCCCATAAACTCAAACATATGTACATGTCTGAATCTAAAACTATTTTATGTAAAATACAAAAGTTAATACAACTTGACGGTGTGAGTGTGATGCCTGAATGCCAGTTTAATTTTAATGACTAAATTTAAATGAAAATTGAACACATAGAATCCCTAATTTACCTCTTTAGAGCAGTCTTACTCCATGTAATCCCCTAACATACACTGTTAGGTTGGGAGCTTTATACTGAAATTATTTCCCTAACAGTAAGAGTGAAAAAAAAGATGCTGCATTGTATAAATAACCCCTCATTTTTCTAGTTACAAAATGAATATACCGACTAAGTCAATCATCTTATGATAACTGCCCAATTTATGAGGTTCCTTTTATGTACAGTCTAATCCAGTGCTTCTTTTGTAAAAAAAAAAAAAAAAGGTGCAGGAACTCACACATATCATACAAGATTGCCTACCCTACAAGGTTCCATCCAAAAAAGGTGCCGGAACTCCGTTCTGGGGTTCTATGACAAAAAAAAGCCCTGGTCTAATCAATAATTTTAAATGGGTCACTTTTTATATACCAGTATATATTCAATATATGTGCTGGGTAGCTTCTGGAGTTCTACACAGGGAATGCAGACTGATTATAACAGCAGAGTGATTAGCAGCTTGAAATTAAGGTAATTCTAACATGAAAGACAAAGAAAGAGAATTGCATTAGAATGCAAATAGCACAAACACATTAGCAACCCCCAAAATGCAAGTAATAAAAATAAGCACCTAACATGAAATTAGAGTCAATGGTTCCCCTTAATAAAAAAAAAATCACAGTTACATAAAGAATGGAATTAACTGTTAAAGCATTCTTTCAGGGTGAAATGTTTGAGATTAAGTACTGAACAGAAAATTGTTAATTGCAATAACATCTAACTGTTCACCTGAACATGATATTATGTACTAACAATTATGCATTAAAAATACCAAATCCCCTCTGCCAGCAAAAACATCTAAATTCTGGGGATGGGAATGGGTGTGAAATACTGAAAAGATGGGTTGAAATTGTACACAAACAATTGTCTTGAGCTTCTAATATGAACAGAGATATATTTTAATTATACTCCAGTACAAAATCTGAATCTGATATTGTTGACTGTGTGAAATATAGTTTAAATCCAGAAAGACAAACACATTCCAGAGCATACAGAAGCCTACTATTTTTATCTTACTCTTTTTCTTAGTGTATGGCTTGCTTAGTTATAGGGTCCACTTATTTTGTATTGAGCTTGCCAAGTTCTTACAATGAAGCTCATCAAAGCATGATATATGATGGGTTTTTTATTTCAATCAGTTTGTTCTAGAGCAGCAGTTCTCAACCTATGGGTCGCGACCCCATTTGGGGTCGATCGACCATTTCACGGGGGTCGCCAAGCAAGGCTGTCTGCCATTTTTTTCCCCTTTTCCGGCGGGTGCCTTACCTCCCTTGGGCTGGGCCAGCTGGTGGTCGGCCTGCTCCGTCTCTGCCGCTTGCCAGCTACGCCTCGTCCAGCGCAGGGGGCGGAACCACGCATGCGTGGCGCTCCCGGGCAGGGAAAGTCCTCGACTTACGACCAGTTTAGTCCTTGACTTACGACCGGTTTAGTCCTCGACTTACGACCAGTTTAGTCCTCGACTTACGACCGGTTGGGGGTCACGGCATTAAAAAGGTTGAGAACCACTGTTCTAGAGTCTGATATTGATATGGGCTGACAGGGAGTGACTGTGCTAAGATCACTCAGTCGACTTCAATATCTATGGAAAGCTACAGCCTAGTCCAGAGTCTTAATTACTACACCAACCTAGCTCTCAAACCTAGCATTTTTCTAATAACAAAAAATAATAAATACATACATTAAAAATAAAACAAAGACAAACAAACAAAAACCGGCCAGACTCAATAAATCACTGGGGTTTTTTTCTGACACCAATTTTCGATGTTTTTGTGTTTCAGTGGAAGAAAATACAACTTTCAGAATGATGTCTGCCATAAGTTTAAATCAGTTTTACAATCTACAGGTTTTCTAACTATTGTAGCCTTTCTACTTTCTAATGAATAAGCAAAAATTATTACACATGAGGGATCATGTACACAACTATAACAAAGCTGATAACATGCCTGATTATAATCACTATGATTCTGAAAGAATTCTGCTGATCAATCTGTCCAATAATACATTACTTCCTCTGGGGAGACAGATGTATAACAGCATCCAATTTCTTTTTTTCTCCCATCATCCTTAAGATTTCAGGATCAGATTTGTCAAATCAGTTCCTTGATTGAAGCAATAATAACCAGCATCTACATTACAGTGAGAAATGGCCTCTGCATGTTCACTTGCAAAAAAAAAAAATCCTTTAGCAACAGATTTGGCATGAAAAAAAGAGCTAGAACAAGTTTTTAAATGAGTTCAAAATGTTTTGAACAACCTTCTATAGTTTCTATGGAAATACAAGTTGTTACCAAAGAGACTCTATAAAAGTCATAGCTGAGAGCACTGTGTTAGCAAGAGCAATACTGCCGGACTTTCCTGTAATAATTATGGATGCTATGTTTTCAGGATTACCAGTTATGACATAAAGTTGTAACTGTGGTGAACAATTACTAAGGTCAATAGAATATGTATTATCATGTTAACCTATGCACCTTTTTCTATTTTACCTTCTTTTTGCCGGAAGATTTCTTAGAGCTAAGTTGTATTTTTTATTAGTGTTTCCAGAATTTGACTGTCAATGTAACTCTTGCACTTTTATGTGTACTGTACATGAGGCAAACGTTTCTGGCATATTGTTGTTCAAATCCATTGAGAGGTGTACCATTAATATTGGGTGATTCTTGCCCTCAAAATGCAACAAAAAAACCACACTTATCAACATTATCTTTCATTGTTAGTATGACATTCGTGCCATTATTGACCTTTGGTGTTCAGTCTGAGAAATCAAGACCAATCCTAATTCCATCACATTTAATCAGTGCTAAAGTAAATTATTTAGTTCTAAATTTGGACATCTGCAACCACACAGCACATTTTTATCACATTAAACTTAGCAAATAATACCAATATTTTCTAATATAAACTTGTTTTTTCTTCAAAAAAACTGGAGTTGAATGTTAAAAGAATCAAATCGTACTTATTTTTTATTTCAAGAACATAATTCCTAGGTTCTGAATAATTAACTCTATGTTATATTTCAAAACAGTATCCTAATTAAAATGCATGTTGGTGATGAAATTTAAAATATAAGGACAGGTAACTCTTCTTACAGAAAAATGTCTAAAATGTCCAAATTAAAATATTTTAAAAAATAATATGCTAAGTAATTCTCAGACAGAAAAAAATATCTTGATGTTCATAAAATGAAACAATTTCAGTCCAATATTTCTTTTACCTTGATCAAAAGGCTTGTTTGGATTCCAGTTTCTGAAATAATCATCCTAAATGAAAAAAAGATGGATATAATTAAATTACATTTTAAGCACTCTTTCAGTGACATGCATAGCTGGATACATGATCTAATGTGTACACATATCTTCCTGGCAAAGAACTATATCCACCAGATTTTGTCACCCATCTAATGGGCAGCATCTCAATGAAGTTTTTTCAGACTATTCCATTACAACCTTTAAATGATTAAAAGTTGTGTATTGAGTTAAGAAAAAATGGTAATATCCTATGAAGGGATGTATCTCTTTTCATTTGAACCTTACATCATGAAACCAATATAAGTATTAGCCATTTCCATTAAGGATATTATTAACTTATTATGATTCTTGGTTATTACTGTATTCGTCAGATGTGATAATGTTTGATTTTTCCCTAACATAATTACTTGGAATAGGAATAGAAGTATGCCATCTTACGTTTCTTAAGAATAGAAGATAATTAAAAGGAGAAAACGGGTGCCGACAATACAATAGGTGCCTTAGATATAAGATTAGATAACATGAGCTAACTTTGGAGGAACAGGGTTTATCCTTGCTGATTGTCTCATTAAATTTAATTTTTCTAATTCCTAAATAAGATTTCACTCTTTCCTAGCCCTGCCTTTCAGTGAATCCTTCCCTTCTCTTGAATCCATCTCGGGGGTTTTGTCACTCTCGTTTTTCCTTCCATGCCTAGAGCATTCCTTCTGTTTGTCTACTAAAAATAGTGTGGGAAACGTGTACTTATATAACAGTGCATTTCTGTATATGTGTATATGGAAGAAAGAATGCTTCACTTTATAAAGGGCTCACCTTATTTTATTAGTAATGAATTTTAATTAAATGTATTAATTCATTTAATTATTTTTAATTTAATTTTGTTCTTGGTTTTTTCCTTTTCATTTTTCAGGGGTATGGTGATAGATATATGATCTAGATATGCATACACATATACATTTATTGGGGAAATTTTTCCAAGTCAGTCTTAAGTCGAAGTTAAAGTTGCAGTTCTATATAGAAAACTGGAGAATCTGAGTATTGCCCAGAAAATGTTTTCATCCATAGAAATGAAGAAATACGGTATGTATTAACTAATGTATTTGACAATTTGAATATCAGAGACGGAACACAGAATCTACCATGATAGAAAGGTGTGAAATAGTTTTAATTGACTAGGGGGCAATTATAGTGAAGACTATGCAACTCATGCAAGTAGTTCACTGACACTGAGCAGTAAAGCTACCTAGCCTTGAATTCATCTTGCCATTTTCTAATTAAAGGACAAAATGAAAGAGTGATCTTAAGAAGGTTAGTCATCATAAAGTTTTACAATGCAAGAGAATAAATTACTTGCATGAACATGCCAAAATATTACCAAGAGTAACTCTAATACGTTCTATTTTTTCTCCATAAATTAAAATTATACATATTTATTACATCATTCATTGTGTAAACTATCCATTTCTTAAATCATCTAAACTGAGAGCTGTAAAGGAATAAAGAAAGCTTCAGGTTTTTATGGTTTCCGATCATATGGAAGCTTATAAATTTTAGAAACACAGAAACAATGAATATTTCACCAGCCAAAGAACTGTAGTTTTGTTTCTGAAGAAACATTCATGCATAGTAACTATAACATAAAGATAATTTCAGAGACACATCACTTCATGACAAATTTGAAAAGAATATCATCACATGGGAAAAAATCGGCACAGCAATAAACTATCCGTTATTGAAATACTTTTTTCTAAAACACAAATATTATTTGTGCTGACAATGAGAGAAATTATAGATGAGAATAAAATCATAGTAATAGGAAACATAGAGAATACAATAAAGAGTATCTCAGTTAAAATCTTGTCAAATATATAACATTTAACTATTATTATATTATATAGTATGATATATTCCTCTAAAATGATTTAGTACAGCACCATTTATCAGCTCAGTTTTCAATATGATCAGTGAATTGATGACATTTGTATTTGAATACTATAAAGATAGAAAATGCTTATTCAGTTGGGCTGTGTCCAAATGTTTCAGATTAGGAACACATTTTCTAATCAAATGAATTTCTTCTTTCCATCACAACCTCCAGTCCATGGAAATGGAACTTGATTGAATCTTGTTCAATTGAATATTCCTATACAAAATTGCATCCGTCTTTACACAAAGAGAAAAAAACAATCCAGCCTATCAACAACAGTACCATAAAAAACAGATTAGACATTCAAGTTAAAATAGGCAAGAAAATGGTAAGTGAGCACCTGTCCACCCTAGATGAGTTCAAATAACCAGGACCAGATGGACTACACCCCAAGATTCTAAAGGAACTGGCAGATGTGAACTCAGAACCATTGAACTATATCTTTCAAAGAACCTGGAGCACTGGGGAACTACCAGAGGACTGGAAAAGAGCTGATGTAGTTCCCATCTTCCAAAAATGGATCCAGGAAATACAGACCTATCAGCCTGACCTCAATATTTGGGAAGATTCTGGAAAAGATAATCAAGCAACAAATCAGCAAACATCTAGAGGCAAACAAAGTCATTATCAAAAGCCAACATGGGTTTGTCAAAAACAGATCATGCCAGACAAATCATATTGCATTCTTTGACCAGGTGACAAAATTAGTGGACCAGAGGAATGCTGTGGATATAATTTACTTGGACTTCAGTAAGGCATTTGATAAAGTAGACCCCAACGTACTACTTGGTAAGATAGAAAAATATGGGTTAGACAGCATCACCATCAGATAGAGTCGTAGGGTGTGGTCCTCAATGGAGCTGCATCTACATGGAGGAAAGTGTGTAGTGGGGTGCCCCAGGGCTCTGTTCTAGGCCCAGTGCTCTTCAACATCTTCATCAACAATTTGGATGAGGAGATTGTTGGGGAACTCATCAACTTTGCAGATGACACCAAGCTGGCAAGAATAGCCAACACTCCAGAAGAAATGCTTAAGATACAGAAGGATCTTGACAGACTTTAACATTGGGTGCTATCTATGAAAATGAAATTCAATGGTGAAAAAAGTAAGGTTCTACATTTAGCCAAGAAAAACAAAATGCACAGGTACAGTATAGGTGGCACCTTGCTCAATAGTAGTAACTGTGAGAAGGAACTCAGAGTCCTAGTGGACAAGAAAGCCAACACAGTGCTAGGCTGCATTAACAGAGGGATAAAATCAAGATCATGTGAAGTATTAATACCACTTTACAATGCCTTGGTAAGGCCACACTTGGAATACTGCATCCAGTTTTGGTCACCATGATGTAAAAAAGATGTTGAGACTCTAGAAAGAGTACAGAGAAGAGCAACAAAGATGATTAGGGGATTGGACACTAAAACATATAAGGAACAGTTGCTGGAATTGGGTATGTCTAGTTTAATGAAGAGGAGGACTAGGGGTGACATGATAGCAGTGTTCCAATATCTCAGGGGTTGCCACAAAGAAGAGAGAGTCAAGCTATTCTCCAAAGCACCTGAGGGCAGGACAAGAAGCAATGGATGGAAACTAATCAAGGAGAGAAGCAACCTAGAACTAAGGAGAAACCTCCTGACAGTTAGAATAATTAACCAGTGGAACAACCTGCCTCCAGAAGTGGTGAATGCTCCAACACTGGAAATTTTTAAGAAGAGATTGCACAGCCATTTGTCTGAAATGGCATAGGGTTTCCTGCCTGAGCAGAGGGCTGGACTAGAATCCTCCAAGGTCCCTTCCAGCTCTATTCTGTTCTGTTCTATATACATCCAGATTCTGTCACAGCTTTGTTCCATACAGTATTAACCTTGTGAACTCTAAAGCTTCATCCTTCTGTTATGTATTCAAGATGGACAGTGAATAATATTTATATGTTAGTTATATGTAGGGGGTAGGTTTATACATATGTTGTATATAATATATTTTAAATGTGTGTTATGTATGTGTACACTTTGAAAGGAAGCAACTAAATTTCATTTTTAATGTGTGCCTTTGTGCCCACAGGAAAAAATGACAATAAAGCTTATCTAATCTATTATATGACTAAATTAATATTGCTAAATCAGCATCCAAAATTACAGAGGAGAATTCTATAAAGATTCACTTGCAAAGGTGTTTACTCAAATTGTGAACTCAATCATCTTTGCAAATCAAATTGAGTGTTTGATTCAAAAGATTGAATCTGATGATTTGATAGATTCTTTTAGATGGGCTGCAAACTAATTTAATAATAAATAATAAAATAGCTTATTCAATGCCTTGAATTATTAATCCAAATTCAATTATGATTTTCCTTATCAGAACAGTTCTTCAGGTTGAAACTATAAAAAAATCTCACAACCACTTAACAATTTCAATCAAATCATAGCTGATGACACATCCTTAGCTTAAATGAATCTCACAGAAGCAGGTTTCTGGATGTGAGAAACTTCCCTTGGAAAAAAGAAATGAGCATAGATAACTAATGCATAACAAGTGTCACTGATAAAGGCCAAAGGACTGCTGATAAAGATCACAGGATTGCTCATTAAGTCATCTTGGCATTATATGTCCATCTACTGGGTTGAATTTCCTGAAAACTTGCCTAGGCTAGATTCTGGCATCTTTCTGAACCATGCAATACCCAAAGGTTAACCACAGGCTCACAAAATATCTGACCTCTCTCTAAAATAACATTAGCATCATCTAGCAATATGAACTTTACATCTAGAGTGCAGGATTTAATAATAATACACACAATTTAAAATAATCCAAAGCATATAGATACACAATAGTTTTTAAAAGCACGAATTAAATGTAGCAGATCCTAATTACATGAGATTTTTCAGGAGAGTTGAGCTTGGTTGCTGAGTTACTGGCGTTTGGGTTGAGCTACTGTATTATACATAATTGACGTAAGTTATGCATGATTAATCACCTGTAATTCATGTATTTCTACAGAAGAGTTGAAAACATTAATTTGTGTTTTAAATAAGTATATATTTTTATCAGAAATGAGAATGCAAATTAAACCAAATAACGGCTGAATGTTAAATATGCTGCATTTCATAAAACAACTTCATAAAAATGGTAGACAGGTGGGAGATCACAAATTAAATATTCCAGGACACCAAAAACTAGAATAGAATGTAAAATTCAACACAATATAGGGTACATTTTTAAAAATAATACTTCAATATTTATATAAATAAAAGAAAACATACCTCTACCTCCTGATCACGTAAGCATAATAAATAAGAGGAAACAAAAGAATTACATTAAATGATGCAAAACTTTCAGCTTTTTATCTAGCAACAATCCAAAAGCAGACATGCAGTATTCCATGCAATGGCTAATTTAAAATCTGAAGATGTAAATGTGTTTAGATATTGCAAATCAGTAAACCTTCTACTTCTATGGTAGCTTCCACATTCATGGCAAATATTGTATCAGACACAAGAAGAAATCTGGAGTCAAAATAAGTACAAGGTTATTCCATGCTACCTCTGAACAAAAATCTGAACTACTAATAGTCCAGGCAAATTGGCAGTAGATAAGAGTCAATGCAATTCCAGGAGGGGTGGAATTAGATCTCTTGTGGGTGTGAAGGGACTTCAGACTGAGGACGGGTTTGACTACTCCCTTGGGCTCAGCCTGGTCATATCCTACTTCTTGTAAATCCTGCTGCAAGCCATATAATATTTTTAGGTACTATTTCCCAAGGATATATACTCATATTCCTAAGCAAAACTACATTCTACTATCACACACAATTCTTAAAAGATCATAGAACAACATAGTTTACAAGCTTAGAAAATAGCATAATTGAACAATTATTTCACAGACTCAAGAATAATAAAAGTTAGAAAGAGCCCTTTAGACCCCCCGATCCAATCCTCAATTCAGTACAAATCCAAACTAAAGTTTCCTCGACAGAGGTCTACCTAGTCTTTGCTTGAACCCATACGCATTCTGGGTAATTAGTTCATTTATCAAATTAATATAGCTGTCCATCTCATTAAAGGTGACTCTGGGCAGTGCACAACAAATGGGTAATCCACAAATAAAAAACATAGATACAAAAAGGTATAAAAAATAATTAATAGTAAATATTATAAAAGAGATCCAAATCCTAGGTGAAAAGAGATAAAAAATAAAAATAGACAGCTCAGCAACTGAGCCGTCTAAACATGTCTCCAGTTCCCTGGGGGCTCCAGGCCTGATAACATACCCAGGTGGAGATGTATAACTGAGTATCATCCATTTACTGATGATATTTCACACAGTGCCAAGTTCACCCAGTGGCTTCATGTAGATATTTAAAAAGAGAGAAGAAAGTATTGAATCCTGTGGCAAACTGCAAAGTAGGACCCAAGGGATTTCTCCTCCCCAGGCATCACTGACTGGAATTGACCCCAAAGGAAGGAGGCAAACCAGCACCCACCTGAGCCAATCCAGAAGTATAACATGGCTAATGGTGTCGAAAGCTGCAGAGAAGTGAAGTAGGGCACGGATACAATACCCCCGTCCCACCCGTGACAGAGGTCATCCAAAAACTTGACCGATTTTCATCCAATACGTCAGTCTGAATGTCCCAAAGATGCTTTTTCAAGAGGCAACTGGACTTTCTTGTTTCTCTTTGAAGACATTTCGATTCTCATCCAAGAAGCTTCTTCAGCTCTAACTGGATGGTGGGGAATGGAAGGATTTATATTCCTTGCAGACAGCTGGTCATTTGCATTCTTTTGCAAGGTCTGAATCCTGACTGAAAGATCTGAATCCTGTCTGAATCTTAACTGAAACAATCCAAATAACCCATTTTCTTCACAGTCTTCTGAAACCGATGTGCAATAACCTTCTCTATCATCTTCCACCCAAAAGGGAGCTGAGATACTGGATGAAATTTGTCTAGTATAGTGGGATCCAGCGGTAGGTTCTTGAGACAGTAGGAGGCGAATGAAGGTTTCTTTAAAAATGGAATAACTCATCCCTTAAAAAAAGAATTAATAATTTTCAGAACCCACTAACACAATATTCCCTGGGCTGCTTTAATAAGCCAGGGAGACCATGGTCTAAAGAGCAGGTGGCTGAACTCACAGTTTTGAGGACCCTGTCAATGTTCTCAGATCAAACAGGTTCAGATCAATCCCAGATAACTGGGCAAAACTTCACCCCAAGTATCTCCCCACAACCTCTAACAAGGCCAGTATCCAATTGGGAATAAATCTGAGCAACTTTATCTGACAGATGCTGCACACATTTTCCACACCCACTTTACTCAAGAGAGTTCATGTCATTCAAAACAGGATGCAATAAGGGCAGGGAAGTGCTGTTGTTTTGCTGCTGCCCTTACCACCACTAGGTAAGCCTTAATAACAACTCTAACCTGTGTTTGGTTGAGTTTGTCCCTTGTTGAGTGCCAGCAACACACTTGATATTTTTCTCCCATTTCATCGCCTTAGAATATTCTGTAAATCATAGCGAGTGACAGGATACATGAGAGGAAAGAGTTTGCATAGTTGCAAACTAATTCAAGGCCTCAGCTGCCACCTTATTCCAAATGACAACCAAGGTTTTAAATGGACCATGTGGTAGATAGACAGGAATAACATCTATCTCCTTCTGAAGGTGGTCTGGAATCACCAATTAGCAGGGGTGGGCCAATCTAATAGTTCCAGTCTCCCTGCAATAGATAGTGGCAATAAAGAATCCCATAGAAAAAGAATCCTATGAAAAAGGAAGTTTCCCCATTTTAGATCATATTGCCACTGCTCTGACAGGAAATCCAGAGTGTGACCACTGTTCCAAAGTGCTCTGGATAATTTAGGATAGGCCCATGGCTCCAACAGGAATGCCTAAGCGGTCTCAGATCCCATTCCAAGGGAAAGTAGATTAAAATCCTCCACCATCAACCCAAGGATGGAGTCAAGTAGCTTAGGCAGAGATGTTGCTATGTAGCAGAGAGATAGGTAACAATCCCAAATGCTCTCTAAAGCTCACCTTAATGAATAGGCTTTCATTAATGAGGGGCTTATGGGGCAGAGCCCCTGAAAGCTCTAAGACATTCTCTGATAACAATGATCACATCTCCACCCCTGTCCCGAAGTCTCAGCTGATGCCATACTCAAAACACAGCTGGGCAAATTTCAGAAAGGGCAACTTCCCATCCAGGTCTCACTGATACATGCCATGTTGGCCCTCTCATCCACGATCAAATCATGAATGAGGGAATCTTTGTTATAAACAGAACTGGCATTCAAAACCAATAGCCAGATGCCAGGACCATTGAAGTTTCATTCAGCCTTCACGACTGATATCAAGAAGCTGGAACATTGGACCATTTCAAGGCAGCAGTTCCTCTGTCCCCAGGAGTGGCCCATTCCTTCTCCCCCCCCCCCATAATTTCATGGTTTAACTGTTTTTACTGCTAGGAATCTGTTTTCCTGTAGCTTAAATCTGTTATTCCACATACTGCACTTAGGGACCAAAGAATTCTTAACTTTCTCCTGTGTGACATACATTTAGATATTTGAATAGTTCTATCAAATGCCCCTGTGGTCTTCTCAGTACTAACCATCCTCAGCTCCTTAAATTTATCTTTGTAAGACTTCAGTTTCTAATGCTGTGATTATCCCCTTTGGCCTTTGATAATCCTATTTCAGTTTGTATGACTTCCTCTTCAATATGATGTCCTGAGCTACACGTAGGACTCATGTCTAAATCTTACAAAAACAGATCAGAGTAAAACTATTATCTCCTGTGCTTTGGAAACTCTAGATCTGTTGTAATGGCTATTTTGTAACTTTGTAACAGTTTTTCATTTGCACTACTATCAAATCACATATTCCCCATTCTAGACCAGTGTTTTCAATTTCTCTTTTCTAACTGAAAAACATCGCTTTTGTTAATTTTCTCAGACATATCAAGCATCTTCTCAATTTTAAGAGCTGTTGTACAATTGTCTCCTGTTCTCAACAACAACATAAACCTGAATCTTTCGTACTAAATCCTATACTCCATTCATTTATTTATTTATTCTTGAATGTGGATTGTTTTTGTTATCAACCTGACCTTGCTAGACAGTCTGAAATAATCCCTCCATGTATATATACAGAGTCCATTATGGAATAAACTAAAGACAATGAATTTTCCACTCTGTCATCTTTTCTGGACTACAGTAAAGAAAATGCATTGATCCCTATGTTTTTTTTTTCTTCAAGGCACACATTCCTTCTAGTCACCTACAACAGGACTGATTTAGGGAGGCAAAACAACCTTTTGACTTCTGCTAAGCTGGAAGAGGCCATTAGTAACATCATAAGAAGGACATAATTAACTTGGGGTAAGATAGGTAGCATACAAATCAAATCTAATCAATAAATACATTTTTGCAGGCACATTCTCAGCTCCATCTCTTAAAAGTTAAAGGTTTCTTTTGTCCAGTTGTGTCCAACTCTAGGGGGCGCTGCTTATCTCCATTTCTCAGCTGAGGGAACTAGAGTTGTCTAAAGGCATTTCCATGGTCATGAGACCAGCAAGCTGAGGCACATGGAACACTGTTACCTTCCAATTGACCTTTACTTATTTATGTACTCACATTTGCATGCTTTCAACTACTAAGTGGGCAGGAGCTGGGAAAGAAACAGGAGCTCACCCTGTCATGCAGAGTTCAGGCCTCAAACCCAGGCTCTCGGCTTTCCAGCTGACAAGCTCAGCATCTTTAACCGCTGAGCCATCATGCCCCATCTCTTACCCAATGTAAAACAACAAAATTATTCCACTGATTTTTGGTAGCATGATTTTGAATTATAAGCCTAAAAACACTCTGCCTTCCAGAGGTATCTTACTCCCACACCCATGCTTAATATGGGGGAAGGGAAAAAAGGACGGCTCCCAAGTTCAGTGGCATGATCTTGGGCTGTGGGGACTGCAACTGCAGAGGTGGGGCCAGATGAAAACCCCTGCATTAGAGGAAAAGAACAGGAAATAAATAAAAAGTAATAAATAGAATATTAAAAATCCAAAACATCCCTACTGCTGTTTTCATTATTTCAGAGGACCTCTGGCCATTCTCATCACGATCATAATAAGAGAATTGAAAAATCAATACTCTCGTAGGTAAATAATAAGGTTACCTGGAACTGAAAACAGGTATGCTTAAGTTAACAATTCAACAATATTCTTAATAGAGTCTTTCCTCTCTCTACATTTCGAATTTAGCACATTAAGATTT